AACAAGAGCATCATCAGGCGGCGCACGTTCAATGCAACACAACGATTGCCTCATATACCCTAGATTAGACTACAATAAGGTAGACGGCAGAAGACCTGATAAATCCGACAAGGAGATTGTGGTCACCAATCAGTTGAGATAGCAAGGAATGCTACTCTTCCGTACATATGCACTGAAGGCCCCTAGTGTCTGCATACTTCTTCACGTAGGGGACATTAAGACACACACAGATCTACTTAGATCCTGGCATCAGTGTGCTATTTAGTGCTGTTGGCTTATCTACGGAGGGTTTCGAGCTCTTCGGGGTAAAAGAGGTCATGTGTGTATGCATATTCTTAGCTAAGATAATCACAGTGATCGATTAATTATTGCACATCACTCATGAATAATCGGTAGAACAATTATCATGACACCCACCTACTAATACTAACTATCTATCTATCCACACAAAAAGTCCAGAATGGCACGCGGGTGTGTGCGGCTATTGCAGGCTTAGAGTGGTCCCGTGCCCTACTGATTATTAGTGATTATTGTTGGTTGTTTAGGTTTTCCTTGCTCTTGTCTTTTAGAAAAATTTTTCTTTTTCTTTTCAGACCCTGATGGGGCCACACTATAAATTTTTATATGCGAGTCCTGAACGGGAAATGCAAGCCCACGTCCACTTCCCAACCAGCCATGGACAGGCTTCTAGAATAAGAATCAGGACTACTGTGCTAGGCCGCGGGACCACACACGCTGATTGCTCAGGAGCGCCTTATTCTTAGTTGGAAAAACAACCACGGTCCCATCCCACCGGCGCCAAGTTGCCAATCATTCCTCTGGGCGGGTCTGTTCTATCCACGCTTTGCTCCATGGCGTTGTGGTTACTCCGTGGTAGCCGCGAGTCAAACAGCCCCTCTGACCACCGGCACCTGGACCGACCTTTTCTAGCAATAATATCGATCCATCCGCGGAGGACAGCCCCCCGTAGTCGGTTTCAACGGAAATGATTTTCTCGCGTAATCCTCGACTGTCATGTTAGGCCATAAACGCTATCACTCACCAACCAGGATTGGGGTGGTCGGTAGTGTGTGTGTGTGTATATGCACCTTGCACTGGCTTAATGACTTAATGGCTGCAAGTGGTCGTTGTGCCCGTCGGCCCTCCTTGTTCATCGTAGGTTGCAGTAGTTTCAGGCGCGAGGGGACGATCCACGGCTTGACCCCTCTTTGTACCGCGCTGGTTTGTAGGGAGGACCCCTGAGGATCAAACTCCGACGGCCATTAATAGACAGAGAGGCGGGCGTACGTTAGTTGTGTGGTTGCGGTGTGTGTGTGTGGTTTCCCCTCATCATGATCAGGGATAGACGCTGAACCAGCTGCATGATAAATTAAGATTAATATAATATACGGTAGAACATGTCAAGTGGCAGGCAGCTGCCATCGATGAACGAGGCCGAGGAGGAACCCAGCTCGTGCGTATGCGGACCTGGTCAGTGCGGAACTTATCAGAGGCATTAGTAGAATTAGTAGAATAAATCCAAGTATGTTTAATGCAAGCAGCACCTCGGAGGCCGATCGTCGCAAAATCTTTGGTGGGGAAGACCAAGCAGCGCCAACCCAGTCGGTCCAAGTCAGTCAGCCACGGACGCCGATTTTCTGCTCGCTTCGTCAGTCCAGCACTGACTATCCATCTTCTCCCTTTCACTCCTGCTTCGTGCATCACTTTCATCATCTCCATCATCATCATCATCCCTGTCCGCTTATATATCTAGCGGTCCTTCCCCTCTTCCGATCACCACCACCACCAACTACGTACTACTAACTCCGAACCTCCGCCAAAACCCACCCAAACCCACCGCCCGCTTCGGTTCCCAACAGACTCAGGAACGCGCCAAAGACAGACCTGCTCGGCTTCTCACAAAGGTCTTTCTTACATCACAATCCCCCTTCCATCTGCCCCCCTGTATGGACTGCGGGACGACTGGCACGGCTGCGGGCATCGACCCCAAAATTCTAGATAACTGGCAATCGGATACTTTTCCGATCTACTCCGCTTACGACCAACCGCTCGAGTGGGATGCGAGCCAGGACTCAAGTCCAGGCGATGCGGATGTCGTGGATCTGAGCAATCTCCGTGGTCCGCTGTCGCGCGACCAATCCACCGTCCCGGTGGTAGGTCATGCTGGCGATTATCGAGGTAGTGAGAGCAGGTGCGATCCGTCTCATCTTCCCTAACCTTGGAGCTTCCCGCTGACAGGTACCCCTCCCGTGCAGCAGCAAACATGGCGCCACTTCCCCCGGGAAGTTCAGCATCAACGACGGTCCTATCGAAGGCACCGTGAGTGGTACGATCAGCCCGAGGACGCTGCCCTCTTCCGCCGACGACAACTTCCAGCTGGATGAGTCATGGCCACCATTCCAGCTATTCAACGCCATGACGGCTGGCCTTCCCATGGAGGCTCCTCTCATGTACCCGTACGCTAAGGAGCCTGCCTCCACCAACACGGTTATTGTAGAGGATACCGGAGAGTTGCCGCAGGGACAGGGCTTGTCCGATCTTCCTCCCGATCCGTTCCTCTCCTTCCAGAATATTCCCCAGGCTTTCCCCTTCTCGACCGCTGAGACTTGGACCGCACCGACTGCGCCCGCGCCCACGGACAACCTGCCTAATCAGACCCCGGTATCTCTGTCGATGGGTCTGCAATCGGCTGCCAAACGTCCAGGACACATCCGCGACTACCAGGGTTCGATGCGATCGCTGGATTCTCGCTGGCTCGAAGGCCTGGAGTCTCAGCTGTCTTCCAGCATGACATCGCCAGCATCCTTGTCGATCCCCCAGGACGCGACGTTTTTCAAGGAGGAGCGAATCCAGCATGACGGCTTGCAATACAAATCGGAGAGTTCCTCGGTTTCTGGAGATTTCCCCAGTGTCTACGAACCGTACCCCGCTAGCAACGACGAGATCCCCGCTTTTGCTGATCGCCAACTCGAAGACAATGGACTCTGGAAAGATACACAGAAGGAGAGCACTTCCTCGGAGACATCTCAACCCCTGCAAAATGCGACCGCCTTCATGGTCAGTGAAGACCCATCAGAGGCCTACTTCACGCCGGTCTCTGCAAGACCCAGAGCCTCGTCATCTGCGCAGAGGGGCCCCGCTCGGCCACAAGCTCTTGCATTACAGACAGTGGCCACGGTCAGAAAGCGCAAGCAACGTAACTCAAGCGTGCATCTGGATCAGAATCTGCCCAAGCCTTTGCAGATCGTGCAGGAAGACGGCCAAGGCGGGTCTATCGCTTCGGCAGATTTCATATCACCACCTCGGGGAGCGCGCCGCAAGGGCCCTCTGAGCATGGTCGGCAGGGCCAATGCTGGTCTGCGGCGAAAGAACAAGGACACCTGTGTCCAGTGTCGACTGAACAAGCGCAAGGTATGCACTCAGCCGATCTTATTCTAGATTTGCGTCTAACGAAATTGCAAGTGTGATGGCAACGCCCCGTGCGATGCTTGCCGCCCTACGCTCCACGAGCAGCCATGCGCACGTGCCTGCTTTGCCAACATCGTCGAGTACGGTACATGTAATTATGTTTGTATGTTGCGATATCTACACACTAGCATTAGTCCTTGTTGCTAACGGGCACCAGCTCAACGAGCAATCAACCATCCCACCACAGATGGTGCTAGACGCATCCGGATGGACATTCCTTCTGAGTTCGACCTCAATGATCTGATCACATTCCTCGGTGAGCGACAAGGTCGATTCAACATCCGTGCCAAGCAATCCTGGGGATCCCTCTATGTCCTTGACCTTGGGGAGACCTACAAGTTCCTCCGCGGACTTAGCGAGTACAATGGCAACTCAAAGTCCAACTTTCTCGACTTCATTGATCGGCGCATTGTCGAGTCGAAGGACAAGTCCAAGAACTGGCTCACATGCGTGAAAGACTGCGACCCGATGAACAATGTTTATGTAGGTGATCATTGATTTCTGCTCAATGCGAACAATTACTGACTCTAATAGTCCTTACTCTCGCAATGGAACAACATGCCTAGCCGTGCTAGCTACAGCTTCGTTCCTCTTCAAGCCGGAGGCCAGGAGAGAACCATGGACATCAACAACCCTGAGGACCGTCGCGAAATCCTCCTTGCAGCACAGTTGTCTCGCATCATCTGCCGCATGCTCGAAGTGGAGGGATTCCGAAAGCTGGAACGCGACTTCTACAACATCAAGTGGAAGCAGATCTCTCAAGAAACCCACCTGCGTTTCCTGAGCGAGCTCGGCCATATCCTGCTTACCCTCCGCTGGCGAGTCTCCTGGTGGCGACGTCTCGGTGACGGCGGTCGCGAACCCGACCCCAGTAAGCAACATTACGTGGATCGGGTCGACCTACTCTGCCGGATTCTCTACGTCTACTACACCTGCGTTCTGGCCAAGCTTCCTTCCTGGTGCGCCGCCGATGTTCCCAAGGGCATCTGGAACACTTATGCCGATGCCGAGAATGCCGTGTGGGATGACTTCCCAGTCGACCCTACCGACGAGGGATTCCGGAGGTGGATTGATCGCGGCCAAGAGCTGGTCGAGCAGTCCGGTGCCCCGACCTGTGTTGCGAAGCTAGGCAAGAACGCCTAGACGAGTCGACCTGGAGAAAAACAACCCCAAAAAGACGGCGGATGGAATGATACTGAATTTGAGATACCCTTTGAAGCGATATAACTTTTGTCTCGTCTCCTCTACTTTTGCGTTATTATGAGTGATGATCCGTGCTAATTTTCGTGGATATAATTATTATTTGGGCTGTGTATATGTCATCTTTCTCATACATAGTTTTAGATTTCATTTTATTTCGGTTCTATTTCAGATATAGACAAGCAAATCTTTGCAATAATGTGTAAAAGGGTATCGTATGTTCATTAATCATATACTGAACAGAATGAAGTAATAGCAACAGCAATATTCCCACCCCACACACCTCCCTCTCTCTAATCAATCACAGAATCCCAAATTATACTAGACCCCCTCTATTTCTTCACATTACCCTTAGTATCCTTCTTCTTATCCTTCTTTCCTCCCGCCAACAACTCCAAATGTCCCGCCTTCTCTGCAAGATTCTTCTCCGTCCGGGCCACCAATCCCGCCGTGAGTTTCTACACATACATAACCCCAATGATTAGCATTACTGAACCACAAATACTAACCACCAAGACAATAACCGGAGGAGAAAGAAAATACCTTAGTCAACTTCTGCTGCTTAACCAACGTCGTCTTCTTAGGTGCGATTTGTCTCGGTCCGCGCTTGGGGCCCAGGGCTGAGGGACTGCACAAGATTCCAAGATGATTAGCTGGGTTGTTCTTCTAGCCCCGTATGTGGTAATAAATGATCCATCAAGATCCCCAACATATCCCAATCATAGATAGACAATTGGATGAATGGGATGTAGGTAGATAGGTATCAACGTACCGCTTCACAAGATTCCCACTGTTGCCCGCGGGCTTCTTCTTGAGGGATCCTTGGACCATGGTTGCGATTTTATATTAAAGTTCTTTTCTTTTCCTTGGTATAAAGGTGAATAGGAGAGTAGGTAGCTGCCTGCAGCGATGGGTGTGTATGTATGTATGATGGTTGTAAGGTGTGGTCGCAGTCGGGTCGGAGAAAAGAAAATTGCTTATCGGGGAGGCGGGCGGAGTTGTGGTTGCTGGGGGGGTTTGGTTGCTTATCGATATATCACGTGACTAGATCTAGCTTACTACTACGGGATGGAGGGAGTGCATAGTTGATAGTTAAGTAAGCTAAACTTTGGGGATAAAATTCTAAGTGTATAAATATAAATAAAGGCATATTTCATTTTGGAGACACGACTATGTATGTGTAATAAGGGAGCTAGCTAACTATGTGATAGTGTTATGATCTGCATGTGCATGTTGGATTGTTGGATCTTTTTTGTCATCTGTTGGTATGAGAAAGGGGGGCGCGCATGGGATGGGGTCGGATTCTTTGCCAGTTTCAGTTTGAGATGTGGTGCGGTGTAATCCGTTGGTATGGCATACATACGTAACAAAGAATTAATAGGGCGGAGATTTAGATTAGCTAGGTTGAAGATGAAGGGATGGAAGGGAAATTGGCATCTTAGATTATCTGTCAATGATAGGATCGATGGGGTCCCATTTAGATGAAACATTAGTGGGAGATCATTTACTGTGTAGACTATCTATCCCAAGTTTCTATGTGGAAAGCCTTCTAAGGCTGATTTACGATATACTATCAACTGTTCTTGGATGCAGCTCTGGTATAATACAATGCTCTTATTATTACCCTTGCTCATTAACTATGGGGGTATATTGTCATAAGTAAAGAGTCGACGAATCGAATCGAATCGCTGCAAACGTAAATACTCTCAACAACTCTCTCTCGCGCTCTTGCGCGTTCTTGTACATACAACTGTCTCAGCTAGGTACATCCTCCATCACTTTACAAATTCCTTAAGAATGCTGGATTGCTGCTCCGCTTAGAAAGCAAGGACGGCAGCGACACCGACGGCGACGGCGCCGAGGCTGATGGCGTTGCGGTCAGCAGCACCGGTGAAGACGGGGGAGACGGAAGAGCTGCTGGCAGCAGGGGTGCCGGAGGGAGTGGCAGAGCCGCGGATGAGGCTGGCAGAGCCGGAGGCAGTGGGAGCAACGACGAAGCTGGAGGGCTTGTTGCCACCGACCACAGGGACGGAGGTGAAAGTGGGCTTGACGTCGGCAGTGGCGGTGGCAGTCTCAGGGCAGATAGTGCTGGTGATCTTGCTGATGATGACGCTGGTCTCGGAAGCATCAGAGCTCACAGCAGCGGCGGCAGTGGTGCTAGTAGCAGCGGCAACAGAGGAAGAAGAAGAGTAGTAAGGGTTGGAGATGCCGAACTGAACGGAGTACTGGTACTGGCCAGTGCCCTCGACGACGAGAAGGATACCGTAGTGGGTGGTGTCAGGCTCAAGGGTGGTGCTGGGAGTCCAAGAGTAACTGCCAGAGTTGCTGATGTCTTCGACAATAGTCTCGAGAGGGACAACGTTGGTGCTGGGGCCGCGGAGAAGGACCAGAGACACGCTACCCGAGGTAGTAGGGTCCCAGGTGATCTCAAAGGGCTTGCCAGCAGGAACAATCTGGTTCAGCTCGGGAGTGAGGATGGCATTGCCGGTGGGGCTCTGAGAGTAGTCGGGCTGAGTGTAGGCAGAGGCCAGGGCCGCAAGGGCAGAGACGAGGGCAGTGGTGAAGAAACGCATTTTTTCGATTTCACTTTCGTGTCTTGCGTGTGATGTAAAGAATGATAGTAGGTAGGGATATTGGAGTGTAATTCAAAGAGTGACTAGAAGTAAAACTTCGTGTATGTAGTGCAAAGGAGTGACTACCGTGGGAGAGGGCGAAAATGCGAGGGACGTCAAATCGTGAGAAGGGAAGGAGAGAAAGAGAAGGAGGAGGAGGGGGGAAGAAACATTCAAGTATATGAATGATGGGGATGTGACAGGCGTAGGACAAGTCCCTTCAGAGCCCCCCCTCTCAATTCCCCCCTATGGAGGGGATGACATTCACTACTACCTACCAGGCTCCAAGCCCAACATCGCCAAATCTGCGGCTCATTTCCCGGTGGGTCAAAGGAAATTATCCTTTCAAATTGCTGATTGGGAACTTGCTCAGGAACAGCGTTCAAGACTACTGCTAGTGACCTACTATTGCATGGTTAGTCTAAGAGATGTCTGGTAAACTTTGAGAACGGTGGAATGTATGGGGCCTACCCTTCCTCGTCTAAACCTTGCGAAATGAATAGGCGATGTCACCTCAAGCCAGTATGACTCTCTGACTGGCTTACACGGCGGGTTAGTCCGCTGTTAGTCCGCTTGGATCGCTCCCCTCCATCGTGGATACGCTCAAAGATACTCGGAGGCGTGGGCCACTCAGAAATTGGGATAAATTGAGACCGCAGATACGAGGGATGAGCGGGGGTTCATCTGCCAGGGCGCTAACAGCCTAGCAATTTTAGGAGAGACATCGAATCAAGGCTCTGAGCGTGGGAGCCTAAGAGTAGTGGAAGAAGGTATTTACTGAATGCTACCTGTGGGTAACAGTATATATCCGCCTAAAACTAGGCTTGTTATTAGTACGGAGTAGATCAAACTAATGCCAACGGTACCAAAATCCAGAGCGTAAAAGTAAGAGAACTAGCCACGAAATCGGCAAAATGGTACCATTTGACTCAGAAGAGGGTCTCAGCTCTAAGCCGGCGAAGCCGTGGGACATGTGAAACAATCATAACCTTATGTCAGACCAAGCCAGGAACAACGGAGGAACGCCGAGAACGGAGAAGGGAGGAGGATGTTGTGATGGCTAGCAGCAGCAGTCCGGAGTAACGACTGGAAGGGAAAAACAGTAGAAAGAGAAGTTTGTTGGTGGAACTTGGCCCGCAAGGGATTCGCGCAAAACAAACAAACACCACCACCACACACCATCATTACCTCCTTTCCTTGTCTGCTCGTCCCTCTCCTTCCAGCTTTGTTTCACTTCCAGAAGCTCGAGCGTTTTTTTCTCTCACACATCTCACATTTCTGGCAAATAACATCCGGAGACTTTTCCATTCTCAATGACATAGCCCGCAGAGCAAATTACCTGGGAAATTACCTTCATGTAAAATTTTACGATGGATGGATCAGTGCCCCTCATAAAATGGTGCTTGATTGGCTTCGCCTCCCGGAGCCTTGCCAGCTTCTTCCGGTCAGTTCTGGTCTGGCACAAATGAGACATAGACACGCCACGAGGCCGAAGCGTTAATCACCAGAGTGGCCAGGCACAGAGTTTAATTACCACTTCCGAATATTGGGACCAGAGGCACCCAATCCATCTCGTGTCCTCTCCATAATGTCCAAAGGCACCAAGGAACCTGTCCGGTGTCCCCACCCCCGTGTAATCGGATAGTCGCCTAAACTGCTACGGAGAAACACAAAAAAGTCATGTTACTACTACTACCCACCTATTTCCTCCCTTTTTTCCCTCCCGCTGGCTGCAGATCAACAGAATATCAAGGGGGCTCGGAACGAGACATTCATTCTGCAAACTGACCGTTCTACATTCAAGTCCCGCAAGAGCTGTGATCAACGTCCTCAATGAAGTCATCCATGGCTATGTTGGGTGAAGATTCTCCGGTTCCTGTCGCTCATTCCTCTTCCTGACTGGGTTAGTGGACCCTCGTTCCGACTGCCAATGCCACTAACAAGGCACGATAACTGATAACATGCCTTCGTTTCGGTCTTCCGTACCAAGGGAAAATGAAATTGACCCGTCATACTGCGAACCTTCAAGGGACAAGCACTCCCGCAAGTATGTACCTTGCAGATCAACCAAACAAAACCAACGGGATGGCTTTCATGAGCACGCCTGCCTGTGATCTTCGCGTTGGCAAGCTATCTCCGCTCGAGGCCAAATTCCGCTGCTCACACAGCATGTAGTCGTATCGCTTACCACGTGTGGGTGAGTGCAGGAATTTACCAAGTGGCGTCGGAGACTAGTTCAAATGTCTCGGACGCCGATACCTGACCTGCAGTCTGACTGCTCATGATCCATCTGCTGTGGATATCATAGGTGGCGGAAGCTTTCTAGTTTAGTTCACGCGATCACCAAAGACTGTCGGTGAAATTGTGACCAATTGCATCCCGGATTGGACTTATCCGAAGATGTGCATTGGTCTACACAATCCTCCGTGCACTTGCAGTCGTGCACAGTATACAACTTCCGGCGCTTGACAAAGCCTCCCAGGATACACGCTCTATTTACAGTAACAGTCGGTCACTTCCTGGTCCGCCACCCATCAGCGAGCAGTGATAAACTACTGGTCCAGACTTGAGAAAGGCTTGGATGCAACCGGGAGTGGCTCTTCCCGGTATCGCTAAATAAATTAAAAAAACGAAAAGCCAAATAAGATGATGTGCTTCGTATTGCTGGGCCCTACTGAACCCTGCATCGAGCGGGTATTTTGATCAAGGGTCCAGTCCAGTCCCCTTCGCTGTAATAATGCCAGCCATGGACCCAATATCGAACTATTGGCATCGGTCTAATCCATGTGGCCTCCCATTCGTCCTCCTAGTGGACGACACCTTCCCAAAGGCTTCCAATTACAAGCTCGACCATGGATCGTTGAGCGCTAGTCGGTGCAGTCCGCGCGCTCTCCTTATTCTACCCAAGTAATCGTCTTGGTTTGCAGCCACTCGTCGTAACCGGAGGTTCCTCCGAAGCGACCGTATCCGCTGCTCTTCCAGCCGCCATGGGGAAGAACAGGTTCGTCGTGCACGGTCAGAGAATTGATGTGTACAGCTCTATTCATAGTCGAAAGGGGTCAGCAGATGACACTTTCGGATCAGACGGAGAGCGATCTCGACCAACATAACTTACCCTGCTTCAATCTGCTTGGCAACCCTGAGGCCACGGAACAGGTTACCCGTAAATACTGCCGAAGTAAGGCCGTACTCCGTGTCATTGGCCAGTGTTACAGCGTCTTCCTCGCTGTCAACGACAATGAGGGATACAGTCGGGCCAAATGACTCCGTGAAGTACATGTCCATGTTCTTG